GGGCATCACGCGGGAAGAGGGCTGCGGTGGAAATGGAGGTCCTCCTCTCACCCCTGGATTTTGAAGGAAAGACACAGACCAAATAACTGTATGGCTTGTTTTCAGTGTGCAAAAATATTGTCATTAAGTTGTTGTTGCGGTTTTAGAACATGTTTTTGGAACAAGAAAATCTAGAGGTAGGTGTCGTAGGGAGTGGCTGTGTAAGGATCGGTCCAGCATCATTCACCTCAGGGTTGTGGTTGTGCAGACGCACGCCCAGCTGAATGTTTTATACTGCGGAAGTTTATCGCTCTGAAAGGAGTGAGGCTGCTCCTGGGCAGGCATGATTGCAAGATCCAGGTCCATCATGACAGATCATAAAATCCCACAGGAAGCTTCTTAGAAGCAGGCATTGGGCATCTATAATATCTTCTTTCTTCCTCCTCTTTTTGCTTTTCTTCTTTTTTCTTCTCTCTTCTGTTACAAAATTGGAAATGGATATCTTATTTTTTAAACATTGGGCTCTAAAATAGTAAAAGCAGTGATAATAGCTTTTACTGAAGCCAAACATGGTTGAAAAAAACAAAGGCTTCACTGGTCACTGTGGAGAGGGCTTGAGCTGTCCACTTGTGTGCTGTATGTTGTGGCTGTATGTTGTATACCACCCCCATACAGACTGGAGCAGCTTAACTTTCCCTGTCACATCACATCTTTGGCTTGAAGTCAGTGAAGCTGTTCCTTAAATATTCAGTATTGCCTTAAACCAGGCCCGTGTCACAACATGCGCATTACATAATATTTTCAATCTTTAAATCAAATGTATGTGGACTTTGTGTTTATAGACCATGCTGAACTGACAGCAGCAGTGATGGGCAAGTCCTGCTTTAGTCGTGGAAAGGATGAAAAGCTGGTAGTTACAGTGGCAGCTCTCCGCACACTGTGGTGTGGTGATGGTTTCATGGGTCCTTTGCTAGCCGGTGAGCAAGACATGGTGTTTCTCCTCTGGGCTGACAAGCTCCAGCGTGAAGCTATATTACCGGAGCTCTTCCCCATCCCAATCCAGGGCTGCAGGGCAGTGCCAGCCTGGGGCTCGCTGCCGCTTTTGCTGTCCTGTAGGAGCCTGCCCTCCAGTTCTGACTTCCCAGCCTCGGCAACAAAAATATCCTCAAATGTCCCCCAACCTCGCTGTTCATTTTATTTTGTGTCTACACTGCATAACATGATGTCTTTGTCTCCCTGGCTCTGCCAGCAGAGGAATTTGTGCGTCGGCTGGCTTGGCTTAGTTGCATCAATTATGGAAGTGTTTATTTGGTTTAAATTAAAAACAAAATAAAACTGGCAATATCTTTCCAGGCAGATCGGCTCCCTGGTCTGTTCCTCAGATGGGTTGCAGGTGGTGGCACAGGGGCGAGAATGAGCGGAGGGGATGGTGAGGCAGGGATTGCTGCTGAGCCCCTTGTGTTGTGACGCCACAGCCGTCGGGAGCTGCGTCCGTGGAATTACAAATTGACTCAGCTGCTGGGATTTTTATTTTTTATGGGTTTTTTTGGAAATCCTGCACTCAGGAATTCATTAGCCTTTCAGATGCACTCAGTTGATATGTCTGAGACATATTTTCAGGGCCAAAAAAGGTGCAGGAGAGCCAGCAATGCTGCGAGCAGGTAACCTCTCCTTGCAGAGCATTGCTGTGCTGAACACAGCTCTGAAGAGCAGAGACGGCTTACACGGACTGATGGAGGGGGCTTGCCTCTCTATGCTTGGCCACAAAGTGTTCAGATATACCATGGCTTTTAGAGCTGGCAAGGGGATTATATATAGGTTGGGTCTCCGTGATGAAACTTGGGTTGGCTGACTGCTGGAGACCAGACCAGTGAGTCCCATCATGGAGCTGGTTTCACGTCCGTGTGCTTTGAGGTGCCCTGGCCAGGATCAAAGAAAGTTTTGACTCTTGGTATATTCTTTGGAAGAAAATGGAGAAGCAAAAGCATATTACCAAGGAAGAATAGAAGCAGCAAAACGTGATAGGGATTGTGAAAACAAGACACGTGCATCTGGAACCAGATGTTGCACTATGCTACATTTTACAGAGTATGCATAAGTACTGCCGTACAGTGTGTGTGTGTGTGCCTGTCAGCTCCCTCGTCCCTTCTGGGCACTGATCCTGGTGCACAGATATGCTAAGGCACAGGCTCTGCCATGAAGAATTTGCACCGTAACTGGTTGTGGCTGGAGGAGGAAAAGGGCACCAGGGTGTGCAGTGGATTGTCCGAGGTTACACTGTGGAATAAAATAGAGCAGCGTTTCCCGTCCTGCCTCCAGTGCTCTGCCTGTTGAGTACCAAGATCATAATGCAGCTTTTTATGCTTACTTACTGTCCTCTGTAAAGCTCGATGCTTTATAGGTATTGATTATTTAAGCTTTGTGTTGTCTCTGATAGAGGAATGTTACAATAATTGCTAATATAGAAATTATTTGAAATGTAACCAGAGATAACATAGCAAAGGCAAAACCAAGATCTAAGCCAATCAATTGTTGGTATAATGTAATTAAATGAGGCTTAAACATAAGAAGCATTAATTCAGCTTTAATGGCATGAATTGGTTTGGGTTTCTTAAGAAGCAGTTGAGGAAATACAGTATAAAAGGGTGAACTCCTGGTCATATTGAAATGGATGGGAGCTTTGCCATTGATTTCAGGGAGGCTTGAGTTCCTCCGGCCTTGCATCAGCAGCGATGCTGAGCTGCCCGCCCTGCCTATGTCATTCTTACTGCTGCTTTCCCTCCTTACTCACCCTGCAGCTTCCTCTTCTGCTGGATCTGCCATTGAAGTTGCATTGCCCCAGTGCTTGGGGAGGAATGGAGATGAAGTAATGCTGTGCCTATATCTGGGCCTAAATTGCATCCTGATTTTTATTCATCGTTCCATACAGAAGTCAGAGGCATTCTCTGGTGCCTGCTGTTTCGATGTGCTGAAATAAGACTAGTCATGTGCTTAACTTTAGTGCCGTAGTGGCTTGGGTCTGAAAAGGCTGAATTTAGTGCAGCTCCTTTTTCTCTGCTTTTGCTATTATTGTTAAAGCTGGATGTTGCAGCCAGCACTTCTATGCAATTTTTTTTTCCTTTTGGTTGTTAGCAGTTAAATTGGCCCATGCTAGGCTTGGCAGTGCATCTCTGCTATGACAGAATGGGCTGAGTGAAGGTTGTCCCAAACTTTTCTGCTGCTTCTGGTTGCCTGCAGATAATTTTGTGCAGGACTGGGGAGTCATCTCAGAGGCACATCTGTTTCTGCTATGGACCTGATCTTGCAGGCTTTCCACATGCACAGCTTCTCTCGGAAATTATGAGCGTGCAGGGCTGCAAGATTGGTCCTATCATGACAATTTCCTGGCAGAACGAAAAGACAGAAACTATTTTTAAATGAAAGCTTTGAATCAGAGGAATATTGCAGAGTGCAGCAAAAAATTGTGTCAAAACCCTGAAATCATGGACTCCGCAGTTTTCTCATGCCAGCGGTTTTCTTCTCTTCATGGTTTTAAGGCTATGTTTTTGGAGGACTGGGCTGAGCATTTTTCAACGAGACGTTTCTGTTCTCCCCGGTGCACATTATCACAGCAGCAGCATCATTTTCTGTGCAAGTCAGGCTGGAGAGAGGTGATGTGTTCACAGGGGTGGGACTTTGCAAAAAAAACTGTATCTCTGCCTTGCACACAGTCAAAATGGTTCTCCTTTAAGTTTGCCCAGGAATTCATTATTCAGCCTTTCCCCGCATCCCAGGTTTGGTTTTATGTTCCTACCTTGATGTACATTTCTAACTTTTCCTTCCAAGTTTCAGTGCTCAGTGGTCGCTTGGGAAAAGCAAATAAGAGAAAGTGTGTGACTTCTTCTTAACTCTGGAAAATTATGTCCTCTTTTTCCCAGTCACTCGCTTTTGTATAGTTTAAGAATGACCCAAAGGGCTCTTGCTCAGATTTTCCTTTAAAACAAACCATCTGATTATTTCCCCCTAAAGCATTCTCAGAGTGATTTGAACATGTGAAAACAGGCAGTTTATAACCACAATTGTTTCCCTGCCTTTGATAGAGTGGTCACTAGTCAACAAACGTAAAATTCACTGCCTTGGAGGGAGATGCTTTAGTTAATTAGTTACAATCAGTACTGCGCTAAGAGACTCATGGCTGCTTGCCCATCTGTTTGCCTGGTAATCTTGCTTGCTGGCTTTGCTGGTCCCAGTCCACATATTGCAGCTGGTTTCCCATACCCGCCCTGCGAGGAAGCACCCAGAACCACATGGGTGCAGGAGAGATGACGAGCATCTTTCTCTTGAGCCATTTTCTGTGCTCTGGAAACTGAAGGGGCTGGGTGAGCCTACTTCACGGGTTTTGCTCTTCTGCTAAAATGAAGTTATCCAGACCCAGTCCGGGCTTACAAATTGTAATTTCGGTTGCACATTTCTGATACTGTGTTTTAGCAATTTTTCCCCCCTTTCTTCTTTACCCCTGTGTCTGTTTGCACGCTCCCACAGTCCTCTGTGTGTTATGAGACTGCTTCCTTCCTCGTTGCAAGGGGTTGGATTTCCCTGCCACTCTCTAACCAGGAGACTGCAGCTTTTGGTGCCACTCTGCATCATCCTCACTGGTCATTTTTGGGGGCTGGAGGGTTTTAGCAGTCTCCAAACGCTACCTGTAGGTAGCTGTGACCCTGGTCCCAGCATACCAGATCTTCTGGTGGTGCTGAGATGGGGCAGCCTGACATTGCCTACACACCGTATTTGCAGAAACACGTGTCCTGCAGGCCTTCAGGGGCTTGTCTGCAGCCTGGATATGTCACACCACACCACATAAACCACCAGGCGAAGTCCAGCCTGGTGATGAGCAATGCACAGGATCCTGTCCTATCCTTTACTCTTTGCATATGTGAGGTTAAATGGCAGGGAAAACCAACCCAGCATGTCGTTTCGTTTGAAAACTCAGGGGAGAGGTGGCTGAAAAGCCTGACATTCACGCAGCTTTTCCTTTTTTCCAGGCGACCTGGTGTCTCGAGCGATGCACCACCTCCAGCCTCTCAACGCCAAGCAGCATGGGAACGGGACGCCGATGCATCAGAAGCAGGGATCGCTCTACTGGGAGCCAGAGGCTCTGTACACCCTCTGCTACTTCATGCACTGTCCACAGATGGAGTGGGAAAACCCCAACGTGGAGCCGTCAAAAGTCACGCTGCAGACCGAGAGGTAAGAGCCACTGCACAGCGCTTAATGTCATGGCGAAGACATTTCGTTAATAAATCAGCCTGGCTGGCTAATTGCTAATTACAGCTTGCGCGTGAGAGGCTGCAGAGCAGTCTGGTTTGGTTTAGGATCACCTCTTTGAAATCCGTTTTTCTTGCCGAAGCGCTGCGTGGCTGACCCAATATATATCAAAAGTGACACCCAGTGGCTACATACAGCAAATTGGTTCCAGATGTGCACTTGGGAGAGATTTCCTTTTCCTTTCGTTGTTGCTCAGCTATTCTGTGTTTTGGAAAAGAAAATGAGAACTTCTATTTCTGGCCTAGCAGGTTTGGGTTTAAATGTGTTTTTTCTACGCGTTAATAGGGCTGAACAGCTGCTGTTGGGGAAGTGGAAAATGAATAGCGTAGTGTGTAGAAAGGAGAGGTCGTTAGAGATGCTGGGCTCCAGCTGTGTCGAGTACCCAGGCAGGTTAGTACCTGAGTACCAGGAGTAACCTCAGGTCTGCCCTGGCTGGGAGTGTGGCATGCTCCGGCTGTGCTGCTGTTGTACCCACTGCGGGGATGGCCAGGGCAGGAGAGGCATGCCTGAGGCCCCGTACTGACTCAGGATCTGCCGTAAGGTGAGAAGGAGATGCCACTGAAGCCGGTGATGGGGTTACCAAATGCGGGCAAGCAGGGTGCCCAGCATAGGGCAGCTCTGCACCTGGGCACTACAGAAAGCAACCGGGACAGCTTCCTGGCCAAGAAAAGAAAGCCATCTCCTGTCAAAAGCCCAGCAAACCCTCTGGTAACACAAGCCTCTACTTGTGTGCTGAGGCACGCTGTGCTATTTCCCTGCTGCGCTTCTCACCAGCCCTAGACCAGGCTTCCCTAGTACAGAGACCAGAGGAGCGGCTTATGCTTGGAAAGTGCTGGGTATTCATTTTTAGGATGGGATCATGATGATGCAAATGCAAGCTGCTTTTTCAAGCTGGGTTCCACATTTACATCCCAATGTATATATCATGCTGCACGTGTGAGCCAAACTCTGATCTGTACGTGTGCCCCAAGAGCCGTGCATATGGGGCTTGGTTATTGTTTCAGTGTGAGATCTACATCTCAAAAGCAGCATTTGAGAATCTCTTTGTATGTGTAGTCATAAATGGTATATAATATGATATCTTCATTGAAATACTTCTATATCGATTCACAGAAAAGCATACAAGATGAAGCTCTGGCATTAATGATGTTACTGGGAATTTTGCCATTTGCCTTTGGATGGCATTTTGTTTCTTTTCAAGTTTGGGTCGCTCCGTGTGCATGTTTGTTGCTTTTTACTCTATTGTTTCCAAAGTATGAAAAAAACAGAAGGGAAATGACAAGAATCCAGAATTTTATTATTTTTCTAAATTACTTTTAATTTTATGATTTGCCATCCAGCCTTGTTATTGCAGAAGGCCTAACTCTTATCCAAGAGTAGTTAATATACACCAAAAATAACCAAAATTAGAAAATACCCTCACCTAATTTGTAGTCCCCATCTGTGGGAGTAATGTCACTGGAACCAGCGGGAATATAAAGGCGAATAATGCTGAGGCTCTGGTTTTGTAAGGTTTCTGCAGACTTCCCTGTGGAAAGTGAAAAGGGCAGGAATATTTGAAAAATCACTTTTAGTATTTGCTTCAATAGGTTTTCCTCTCTCTGAGGTCACCTTAATATATGTTCTCTTTGTTAGAGCACTTGAAATGCTGATTATTTAAAACGATTGTTCTTCTTTGCTTTATTTTGAATACTCCATCTGGCAAGATGTCTTCCTTTGGCAGGGCAGTTTAACAACTGTGGTGTGCGGTTAGGGCCAGAGCAAGTACTCGATGTTATTGCCAAGAGATTGTGGTCACTTTTGGAAGGAGCAGATACTCCTCCTGTTGCCTAATCAAACATGTGTTAGTACTTAGTGTTGGAGTGGGAGCGATGCAGGGTTAAGCATGAGCCTGGATATTTCCATGGGGTTGTGCTCTGGAGCTTCACCAGCTGGATGTAACCATCCTGTGCCGCTCAGAAAGGAGATCCGTGAAGCCGACTTCTCTTTATTGGTCTAAGGAGCCTTCCTACCTATTTTCCATCTTTTCTTCACACAGAAGCATGCTTTGTGGTCCATGACTTATTTCTGGTGGTTTTGGTTTCCATGATGGGGTTTTGTGCATTGCAGGGGAGTGGGTTTGTTAAACATGACATTTTTATATGCAGAATATTTGCAAGCTTTGTGCCATATCTACGTGCTGTATTCCCTCTCTTCTTCTCCAGCTGCGGCAATTGCTTTTATGTTGGAAGAAGCCCAGAAAGAAGCAAGGAGGTCCAGGCTTCTTTCCCCATCCTTGGCCTCTCTGTGTCCCTGCTGGTGCAGGGAAGCCAGGACTGCATGGATCTGGCTCTAGGCAGTATTTCCATGAAATGGGGGTTGTCCTTGGCTCATGTGAAGCCAACTTGGCTACTGTCTTGGCCCCCTCCTCCCTAACCGTGCATGCCCAGGGTGGGAGAGGGTTGTGGGATGCAACCAGAGAGCTCCTTTGATGCTTGCAGGGCTTGGTGGCCCCGTGAGAGCTGCTCCCATCCTTCCCACCCGTCTCCAGCCCATCTGGATTTCGGCTCTGAACCACGTTGATTTAGGGAGCTGCAAAGGCTCCACACGTCCTCCTGCAGAGGCTGGATACAGGAGAGAAACCGGTACGGCGGCGGTCCTGCCTGGCTTAGCACTTTCCAGCACAGAAAGCAGTACCTCCCTCGAAGTCTTGGGGGACGCATAAAATGGGATGTTTACCTTTGAATAAATCCGGCACTTTGTTTCTAGGGAGTGTTTCTCTGTGTTTGCTCTTCATGGAGGTAAAGAAACGAGAATGCGGTGTGTTTTTAATAGTGTTTGTCTTTACATAAAATAAAAGGGAAAAATGATTATACAGCAAAGCTCTTGCTGGGGAGGCTGCTTTCATGGAAGGGGTAGAAGGTGGAAAGTGGCCAGGATTGCTCAGAAAACCTGGAAAAGACTCCCCACTTCCTAAATGCCAACAAACCCAACCGTAAGATGGATGTGTGACACCCTCCCACCCCAAATTCATATTCTTCTTTCAATTTGGTCACTTTGGAAGAAAACCTCTAATTTTTTGGCTGTGTTGCTGGCACCATCACAAGCCGGTCCTCTGGGGTGGGCTATCTAATGGCCCCTGGTACCATGTAAACAGCTATTTTGGTAGGTGTGGAGGTACAGGACGGGGTTTGGACCCGTTTGTGGGGATGTAGACAGCTATTTTGGCAGGCGTGGGAGGTGCGGGGAGGGGGTGGAGTGGACCTGTTTGTGGGGTCCCCCTTCCCTAATGCACCCAGCTGGGACATGATGGAGACATTTCTGTTGTGCCGGGTGTTGCCTGCAAAAGCAGTGCTCCTCCGGTGCCTCCACTGGCAGGCAGCTGTGGACTATTTAGGTTTGTTCATTCTTTTGCTTTCCCAGGAACTTAAAAAAAAAAAAAAAGAAGGAATTGTAGATGAGGCTACTGTTGCCAAGATTTCTTTTTTGCTTGCTGCTTCTGGTTTAATAAAAGGATCTGTCCCATGGTTGTGTTTTGCTTCTCAGCTTCTATAACACTTCCAAAATTATTGCAAGTAATTTCTTAAGCACCGGAAAGCGCAGAATCTGTAGTTGCAGATTTGTGTGATGGTTTTTTCCTTAAGTGGTTCCTTACCCACTTTTATCCACAGCTGTATTGACAAAGTCCTCATTACTTCCTCACTCTCCATGTTCCCCATTAACAACTCATTGAGAAGCAGCAGCTCAGCCGGTCCAGAACCACCCATTAATTCTGCTCACAGGCAGCAAAGTTCCTTCTCCAGTGCTTCCTCTGCCGCTCCGCCTTGGAGGAGCATTAACTCTCTGTACTGCCCGGCAGCCTTTAGCTTTTCCCTTCGAGTCTTAATTGAGCTGATGGATATGTGTCTGATTTTAACCTCCTTTTCACTTTTCCTTCGCTACTCTTCCCTGTATGTGGAGCTTAGGAAACTCCCATGGGCTATTGCTTTATTTTTTTTCTGCCTGCCTCGCATACGCATGTGGGCACACACACAAAAAAATGTGTCCCCTGCATGTGCACACACGTGCAAATTGTAGCCTGTAGTCATTCGTGATTAATGGAAAGGGTTTAGGTTATCGTCTGAATTTTGTTTCATGCTTTGGATAGTTATTAGTGTACCTGGTTAATAAATGGGATGCAGCCCCCTTAATGAGAGGAGTGTTCCACTGCTGAAAAATGACTTGAACTCTTTTAAAGCACTTTCGTAACTGGTACGGCCATGTCTGTAGTACAGATTATACCCATAGAACAATTTCAGTAAGAAGATAACTAGGGAAATGTGTCCCTGATTTAAATTATTATGTGGTACAAACTCCACAAGTAGGGCAGTCTCCAGCAAAGGCCGGCAGAGAGTGGAGGCAATGATGAGGAATGCTGATGAAGAACAGGCAAAGCTCTAACAGTGGGAATGTGGAAGTCCTGCTATGAAACCTGAATGAACCTTGCAATGTATATCCAAAGAAGGGATTACAGATGCTTGATGTGCCAGTATGCCACATGCCCCGTATAACACTATATATTTTTATCTACTGTTTAATTGAAAACTTCACATGGTAGAACGGTGGCCTCACTAAACTCAAACACCAGGGTTGATTTGAATGGGAAACACTGAAAAGAAATCCCAGATCCATCCTTTCATAAATCTACTAGATTTACATCCTAAATATCAAACTTCCCATTTTTTAAAAATCCCTTCAGAAATGGTATTGGCAGCTGCCTGCAGCGTGTGAGATGGCACGTTACAAGAAATAGTTCAGGCAGTATTTGTAACTTGGCTGTCAGATGGTATATCCTTGCTGGACTGGGGCTGTTTTTTACGTCTAATTTACACTGTCCGTGGGATGTTGTGTCAAATCTGATGTCAAAACTGCCTGCGAAATATTTCCCTGTTGTGGTTGTTGGC